TGTTTCTCTAGGTAAATACACATCTGAGTTGACAAATATGACATGTGGGGTTCCTCAAGGCTCTATCTTGGGGCCTTTTCTCTTTAACATCTACATGCTAACACTGGCTCAGATAATGAAAAACTACAAAAGAAGTTACCATAGCTATGCAGATGACACCCACATTTACATAAGCATTTCACCAGGAGACTATGCTCCAATTCAAACACTGAGTAAGTGCATTGAACAAATCAATGACTGGATGTGTCAGAACTTTCTCCAATTAAACAAAGATAAAACTGAGGTAATGGTTTTTGGAGCCAAGGCAGAACATTTAAAAGTTAGTGCTGAGCTTCAGTCTGCAATGTTCAAAACAACAGATAAAGCCAGAAATCTAGGTGTAGTCATGGACTCTGACCTGAGTTTCAACAGTCACATTAAAACAGTTACTAAATCAGCCTACTATCACCTAAAGAATATATCTAGGATTAAAAGACTAATGTCACAGCAGGATTTGGAAAAACCTGTCCATGCTTTTATCTTCAGTAGACTGGACTACTGTAATGGTGTCTTCACAGGTCTCACAAAAAAATCAGTTACTGTGTTAACACACACTGTTACTGTTACAGTTAACATCACTGTTACTGTGAAAAATAGTAACAGGGTGGACGGTAACAGGGTGGACATTTTATGCTAAACTTGGCTATTGCTACATGTGTGATGATAATCAAGCTAGCACTTTGTGACAACAGAAATATATATTTGATAGATATATTCACCATATTTTCAAAATGTAAAACAAATGATCAGTTCCACTAAAAATGAGCATAACAGGGTGGACATTTTATGCTTTACCGCAATAGTTAAGTTCTTTAAAACATTAGAAAAACGTTGAAGGAAGAACGCATTCACTCTGCTTCCTGAAGATGATTTCCCACTAAAAATGTATCCTTCTTCTTCTTGAGTCATACAAATAGTAGAATAGTAAAGGGGCGTGTCCAGAGGGATTCAAATCAGAGTAACAGGGGGGACATTCAAAC